GAGCGAGGTCGCCGACAGCGGCGGCGTCTCAAAGCCAAGGTCCCAGTCGGGCGCCTGCGCGGGCGCAATGCGCAGCAGCGACGCGTACGTGCCCTTCACGCGCGACGCGTACGTCGTCTGGAGCACGAGCGGCGCGCCGCAGTAGCGGTAGTGGGCGTGGCGCGGGCAGCAGTGCGGAAAACATCTAATGGAGTGCACCACGGGTCCGCGGACTACGTCGTTGGTCGTACCGCAGCACCTAGCAGCAGCAGCAGCATTGGGCGACGTCGTGGTGATGGACGGTACCTTGACTTTTTGGGCCGTTTTGTATACCTAATGGTGCAATGTGAGGGCTGCGGTCGATGGGCCAAATGACGCACCGCGTGTAGTGAGGCTCAAAGACCGCGTCGTGCTCGCAGTACTTGACGTGGAAGGCGCAGTCGACCGCGGCCATCGACTTCGCAAAGACCTGTTGGGAGTGGACGAATCAGAGGGCATTTCGGCTGTATACTGAAATTTAGAGGTGAATTATTGTCCGCTTCGGTTTCACCACGGATAACGCGAGGTGCGTCACGGAGCCCGTCGCAACCAACAAGTCTCGCGTTGGTGGGGGCCAAGGGATTTATTTCTTCCCTTGGTATGGCGTCTGAGACCTCGTCCTCCTCTGACGGTGTTTTCTGTCGACGCACTCGACGTTTTCCTTCGACCGGTGACGAGAGATGTGCCGCAGAGTGGTGGCGCGCGTAGTTGTATGGTCTCCTTCGCCTCGGCTGCTGCGTGTAGCTCACGATGCACGACTGGTTGGAGCCCGCCTTCTTCGTAGGCTACGGTAACGTTGCTTGAACTTATGGAAAACGACCGCGTTGGACCAAAGGCGACCAATACACTCCTGTAATGGGGACTTATGGCACCTTATCGTTCAAAGGCTTTGGTTGCCGGCGCAGTTGCCGTGTCTCGGATCATAGACTCAGCATCGACGATGGACCAAGGTTGCGTCATATGGCCTCTGGCGACGTCTGTTGTCACCCATGGCTGGTCCTCGAGCCACTTACACAGAGCATGTCCTCATGGATGGCTCTACCATCGCTGGTTTCGCTTGCAGTTGCCCATTCCATGAGGAGGATGTCACGTGATGTCGTCCACGCGGCTGAATGCTGCGATGTAGCTCTGCGACGTGGTGGGACTCGCAACGATGTTTAATCTGGCTATCTCGGGACGTCTGAAACGGACACGTCACTTGATGACTGGCAATGGCTCAACTGGTTCCAGACCCGTTCCAGTCGCGCGCTGGTCGAGTCCGATGACGAGATTGCGCATGAGGACACTCTCGACCCAGTGCTGTCGACCTGAGACTGTCGACCTGATTCGCTCGTGATAGGTAGGTTAGGTTAAGTTGGGATGTGCTGACACCTCTTCTTTAACCTGTGGGAATCGCGTTTTTTACACACCAGTGAAAGAGGGTCGATGGCCGCGGTCGACTGCGCCTTCCACGTCAAGTACTGCGAGCACGACGCGGTCTTTGAGCCTCACTACACGCGGTGCGTCATTTGGCCCATCGACCGCAGCCCTCACATTGCACCAATTGTAGGTATCAAAAGGCCCAAAAAGTCAAGGTAGTGTCCATCACCACGGCGTCGCCCACCTCCTTGCTGCTGCTGCTAGGTGCTGCGGTACGACCAACGACGTAGTCCGTGGACCCGTGGCGACCTCCATTAGATGCTTTCCGCACTGCTGCCCGCGCCACGCCCACTACCGCTACTGCGGCGCGC